GAGCAACTATTATAGATCTGCAATATTTAGAAAGGTACAAGATTTTATTTTCATTTTTATTTGAAAATTATAGTTATATGTATTTTAATTGTCAAATATAAAACAAAACTTTTCATTAATTCAATCTATGTTATGATAAATATTTTATCATGAATCTGTTTCTAAAAATACCAATAAAAATATATTGATTATACAGCATTATATTATAGTAAAATTTACTTAAAAGTTATTTCATAATTTTATGTAAAATATATCAAAATGTTTTAGGTAAATATACTTATATATAATTAAAATTTAACTATTATTTTTAGGTTATAAAACCATTATATAAAAATAATGTACATCAAAGAGAGCTTATGTCTCGTATACGTGTGAAATATTTCAATTCAGATAAAATGTACTATTTTGAAGTCCCCCTGAAACCAAAAAACTGTAATGAAACAGTTAAAATTGAAAATATTGTAAAAACAGATATGGAACAAATTTTTAATGAAATTAAAATAAAAGATAGTACTGCTTACTTTAGTATATCCAGAAATCAGTATATAAAGACCATTTTAGAAAATAATTTTTCTGGTCCATCACCACCACTGCTTGGAGACAATAATAAGAATGTTATAGTAGAGTTTAGTTCACCAAATATTGCTAAACCTTTTCATTTAGGACACCTACGTTCCACAGTTACAGGAAATTATGTTGCTAATATAAATAGTTTTTTACAAAATAGAGTTAAAAAAATAAATTATTTAGGTGACTGGGGAACACAGTATGGTTATATTCAACAAGGAATCGAACTTGGAAATATTGATAGTAATGAAATGAAAACAAATCCTATTAAGTCTTTGTACAAAGCATATGTTATTGCTAATGAATTAGCCAAGACTGATTCAAGAATAACTGACCGTGCTAGAGAAATATTTAATCAATTAGAATATGGAAATGCTAATAGTAAAGAATGGCAAACATTTAAGGATTATACTGTACAAGAGTTAGAAAAAACTTATAAGAGAATAGGAGTATCATTTGAAGAGTATCATTGGGAGTCTACGTATACTGCCTCGAATATAAGTACTTTGATTAAGTCAATGGAAGCAACAAAGTTGTTAATGTTGGATGAAGAAAATAGAAAAGTTATTCCTATATCTGAAATAAAAAATATACCGCTCATTAAAAGTGATGGTTCTACTTTATATATAGTTAGAGATATTGCTGCTGCAATTGATAGATTTGAGAAAAATAAATTTGATGTTATGTATTACGTAGTAGATAATGCTCAGCATAATCACTTTACAAATTTAGTGCAAATTTTAAAGCGAATGGAAATTCCTTGGGCAGATAAACTAGTGCATGTTAAGTTTGGAAGAGTTCGTGGTATGAGTACAAGAAAAGGTACTGCAGTGTTTTTGGAAGATATACTTGATGAAGCAAAGGAAATTATGAGAGAAAGACAGATAAATTCGGGTAGTAAGTAAATTGTATTTGCAATTGTAGGTAATGAAATATTAAGATCAAAGTTTTTAAACTTTAGATATTCAAACAGTTGGTTAATGATGTTTAATACATAGAATTAAATGCAAATATTAAATTAATAATTACTTTCTTTCAGCAACTAAGGTTTCCTTAGATGAAATGAATAGCATTTCCGATATTTTGGGTATCTCTAGTATTATCATCTATAATTTGTGCCGGAAAAGAGGAAAAGACTATGAGTTTGATTGGGATACAATGCTTGATGTAAAATGTTTTGATAGTTTAGAATGTTTTGAATCGTTTGTTTAATATGTATTTTTCATTCTGCATAATATGCTTTATTACCAGATGAAAGGTGATTCTGGAATTAAAATGCAGTATACTCATTGTCGCTTATCTAATTTGGAACATAACTCTAGTGCAAGGTTAATAAAAGAATGTGATGCAAGTCTTTTAAAGGAACCAGAAGTTGATGAGATAATTGTATTGATTAGTAGATTTGACGAAATTATACTTCAATCTTATCAAGATCTTGAGCCATGTGTGTTAGTAGTATATCTTTACCGTTTAAGGTAAGTATTATTATATTAGACAGAACTATATACGTTGTATTTTAAGACCATTTCTTATACGATAAATGATTTTTTTGTAGCAAGGCGGTCAATACAGCGTTGATCTCATTGAACATAAAAAATGAATCAGCAGATGTAGGAAATCAACGATTGTTACTATTCCATGTATCAAAACTGGTCATTGCGAAAATTATGAAATTACTTGGTTTAATGCCATTAGAAAAAATGTAATTGTTTTATATGATTTTGTTTTACTAATAAATTATTATATCTATATATCTATTTTTTACCTTTTCTTGTAATAATGTATTTAATAGTATTTAGGCAACAAATACTTAATAATATTTCCATTTATTAATTTACTGATTAATTACTCTTTATCTCTTGATAATGACAAAACTTACTCAGTATGGTTCTTGGAGATATTTTGTAATAAATAAAAAAAAATATTTTTTAAGATTACACTGAAATATATTTTTACAATTTTTAAAGTATAGAAAAACAATATTAACGTTTTTTCCACGTGTATCTTCTTCGTGCTCCTTCCTTTCCAGGTTTCTTTCTCTCACGTTTTCTAGGATCCGTTGTTAGGAGGCCAGCTAGATAGACATAAAATATGTTTCCATTAAGAATTCATTTTCCATTAATTTGATAAACATTTTCTTATTAAAAGTTGCATACAAAAAATAACTGTAAGTAATTATTATAAAAATAAACCACGAATTCATAATGTAATTACTTCATATTTCTATACAATGTACAATGTTTACAAAAAATTGTAAAATTTTTACAATTTAAAAACCAGAAATTAAATATTCTAATATTTTTGAAACATAATAATATAACTACAAATTTTTCACATTATTAAAATAATGAAAATGTTACTCAATGAATTTAATGTTCGATGTTATTAGCACTTTCTGAATTACATTTAGAAATTAGTGCTTCAATCAACAATGGACGGTAATAACTTTATTTTAGTTTCTATCATATGTTAATTTTTAAAATTTATCCCGAAAGTTCCGCGTAACGTGATAATAATAAGTATCACAGGAAAAACTATTTTAAATTAACATTTTAATTTCTTTAAACCTATCATTGTAATTGTGGGGTGGAAAATATGCACGTAAGCTTTATGCTACTGTTGTTCGTAGTATTCACCTGGTTGATTGTTACAGTTATCAAGTTATTGGATGTATTGACAACAGATTATTAATTAAAAAGTTAGTTATTTTTTTACCAAGTCTCATTTTTTCTATCATCTGAATATCAACAAAGTTTCGAAGTCCCTTTGCAATGCCTAAACGAACAACACCAGATTGTCCAGTAGGCCCTCCACCAGAAACGGTTGCTTCGATATCAACTTTGTCTTGCATATTCGTAAAAATTAAGGGGAATATAATCTGTAATTAAAAATAAAGTACGTTAATTATCGAAAAAGCTAATACACTACGCTTAAATTTATATATTCATTAGCCACATCACAATAAAAAAGCATGTCTTTTGAGCCAAATTTAAATCTTAGATGACGGTAAATTTCAACAAAAAAAGGAAAATATTAATGTAATTACCTAAATAAGTTAGAATTTCTTATAGTGAATTGAGTCCATTGATAATTTTGATAAAATAAAAAAATATCCGAATAATTGTTGTATTCTGTAAATTTAGGTACTATACAATTATCGAAAATGGTTTTATTAAAAGAACAACGGTCTAGGGATGGTTCGATACTAATTATTAAATTAGATGGTTCGTTATAAATGTCTATCTGAAATGTCATAAGTATTATCTAGAATGTACAACTAACAACATTAATCCGTTACATAACAATTACAAAACACATGGTGAGCGAAGAAATTTGCGATACACAGAACATTAAAAGGATTTCTAATGCTGAAATTGTATAGCAGGGTCTTTTCATTTATTTTCACTTTCACTTCCGAGGTACGTTTCTCTTGTCGATCGTTTAAAAAATACTCCATTTCCGGATATACACGTGATAAAGCCAATACGTTGACTTCGCTTCCGTTACGCCCGAGAGTGATAGAGAGAAGACTGTTTCACTCGAAATGATTTGCGTCGCTCCGTTATTATCAATTCTGGCATGTGTCCGAAACAATTCGGGTCGAAGGCATTTGCGTACGTTCAGTGTTAGTACTTAGGGGATGCCAGTTTCTTTTTTCCTTCGTCAAATTTTTTACAACACTTTCTAGCGTTTTATTGGTGTCCAACAGCTGCTCCTTTAGGGACTTGATGGTCTCCTCGTACGACTGCAGCTTGTTGGCCAAATTCTCGACGATCAATTGCAAATTGGAATCCGAGCATTCTTCGCTCTGCTGCCTCATCCACATCACATGATCGCTAAGGCTGACGCTGTCATCGTTCATGAACGGTATATTCTTTTGCGCGATCTCGTACGCCGCTTTCAGAATGTCCTTGGGTAGCCTCTTCTCCAACGGGTTCAGCGGCTTCACCACCAGCACCCTCTTTCTGTTCTCAACGTTGATTTTATGGTCTGACATCCATTTACGGAAAGCATACGGTATCGAGCTGTTGTGGAGCACCATCTCCGTGAAGAGGATCAGCTTGGTTTGTCGTACGAGTTTCGTGAGGCCCGCGTGGTTTCTCAGTCCCTGGATGTCGTGTACAGCGATGCCGACCAGAAGATTCATCAGGATCACAGTGACAAACACAATGAACAACGTGAACAGGATCTGCGAGCAGACCGACAAGGGATGATAGATCACGAACGGCCCCTCGGTTTCCTGATCGATTTGAGTGATAAGACCCTCGAAGTCCAGTTCGCCGGCCATCATCGCCAGCACTTTGATCAGTCCAGTGAACGGGTTGCCGAACGACGGCTCGCCGACGAAGATCACGCAGAAGCTGACTGTGAACCCAATTAGCAGCCCGGAATAAGCGAGCAACAATTTCGCGAACTCGAACTGTATGTGGGTGAACATGGCCACGTAGGTGCCGAACGCCGGCAACTGGCCGACCATCAGCATCAGGTTGGTCCACGCGCACAGTATTGCGAACGCGCCGACGTAATTCTGCCAGTCGTAGGTACGGCCGGTGTACACGAACGATGTGACGAACACGCTGATGATGACCACACCGTCGAGGACATTGTCGATGTTCGAGAAGTACTGTTTCGCCGACGTGTACACCATGAATCCGAATATCTTCCTTGGTATCGAGATACAGGTGAAGATGAACAATAGGTACCACTGTATCTCAATGGCGGGCCGCCTGAACAGAAAGCCGGAAAGCCGTTTGCTGTTGCAGATTTTCGAGCTGCTCGCATCGTCGTAGTTATAGCATTTGTAGGCCAACGCGGTGAGCACGTATGTGGTCATACAGATCACCGTCATTGCGTACAGGAGGATCCTGAGCAGATAGAACTTCCGAATCTTCTCCCATTTCAGGTGTAAAAACGCCATTACCAATGGATGCGACAGCAAGTCCTTGCGGCGTTCTTGGACGAACGTGTTGATGAAGCTGGTCTCGCACTGGTTGCCGCTTGGAAACAACAGATCGAAGTGCAGCCTCATCTCGAACTCCCTGTTGTGGGGCACGGGTCTCCTCAGCGTGATAGACGCATCCAGCCTCTGTCTGAAGACTTGCAGGGATTCGGGTATCTTCCTGAGTATGATATTCAGCGCGGACAAGCCGGCGCTGGTAGTCGCGCTGACGTCCGCTCCTGCCCAAATTAAGACATCAACGCAGTGGGACTGTTCGTTCAACGCGGCCACGTGCAGAGGTGTGAAGCCGGTTCTATCCGCCGCGTTCACCAGCGCGCCATGCTTCAATAATATATCCACCAGCTTCGCAGACGAAGAGGTGGTCATTACGGCGAAGTGGAGAGGCGTCCTGAGCGCCCGGTCCACGGCGTTGATATTGGTGCCAGGGGAATCGAGCAACAACTCGACGCATTTGATCGACTGCACGAAGCAGGCCACATGAAGGGCTGTCTCGCCCATGTGGTTCTTCTCGACGATGCTCGCGCCGCGTTCCAACAACAGCTTCACTATCTCGACCGCGTCCGACCTGATTGCCGAGTGCAACACCGGCTCGACGATCTCCTGGTAAAGATAAGTGGTCGGTTTCGCGCCGTTGTCCAGCAACACCCGCGCCGCATCTACCGAGTTCCTGTATATAGCAAAATGAAGGGGAGTGTAGTGGTTGATCGGGTTCCTGCAGTTCACATCGGCGCCAATCTTGATCAGGTGCTCGACGCAGGCTACGTTACCGCTCAAGGAGGCAGCAAGGATTGCGTTCATGCCAGTGCATGGAACGGTGTAGTCGAAACACGCGCCGGACTGCTCCAATTTCGGCAACAGGTGCGCCAGGCCCCTGTAGCAACACCAAACGTACGCGATGTTTTTAACTCTCTCGCCGGGAGGCAGTTCCGGCAACGCGTTGCACTTTTCCAGCTCGAGCAGCAGCTTCATCTCCGCGGTGGTGATCATCGACCACATGATCGACGTTAGGTCGTTCCCGTTGATGTGAGCCTGCCGAAACACGTCCAGGTTGTCGTAAAACAGGGACTCGTCGACCGGCGGTGGTGTGCCCGCGTCGATCTCTATGCGATCTTGGACCACGTTTATCTGGGGAGCTTCGTTGCTTACGATCTTCTCCACGTTCCCTGCTTGCCCGTACCTAACCGATCTAAACGTGGGTGCTAGTCTTGTGGACAGAAGGTCGTTTGATCGGTCGGTTAAATTTGACATGGAACAATGCCTGGCCTTCCCATCCCGGCTTAACGGTAGATTCAGTGTCTGCAAGGTCGCCTGTCGAGTGTTGATCGCTTCGTTCACGAACTCCTTATCCACCTTCGAGTCTTTCTCTTCGTCGGCGTAGAGGCAGGAGCGACGATTCTTTAGTCTGGTCAAGGAATAGTGTCTCGTCGTCTTTCCATGGCTCAATGAACTCAGCATTATCTTTGGACTCGTTCTGTCGGCGTCCTCATGGCCTCTCTCGTCGCCTTCCTCTTTCGTCAGTCGATAGTTGTTCTCGTCGAACGACAATCGACGATCCCTCCGATTGGCGAACGAACAACTTCGCGATTCTCCCTCGTCGTTGTCCGATGGCAAGTTGATTTTCGGCAGATCCTTGAATCCCTCGTTCTCCATTCCGTTCAGGGTACCCTACGCGCCGTGGATGATGAAGAAACTGCGACGTAACGTAACGCGCTCCCTGGTATCGCGGATCGCCACCGTGGAACGTTCGTTCCAATCGTCATACCTCGGCCTCACTCTTTTCTTCGTTTATCACGTCACGTCCCAAAGTCATTTGGATCACTTTAAGAGAACGGTCCCGTCATTACGGCACACGCGACCGCTGGTGTCACTCGCCCGAGTGACTTATATTGGATCGCCACCGTACGAAGATTCATTCTATATATAAAGCCGCGATAGGAAAAGACACGCTTCCACTCGACGAACTGTCCTCCGTCGAATAGGGACCTTGAACTTAAAAACTAACGGGACAGAGGTCGCCGACGACCGGTCGTTTCGTTGCAACGAATGCGACTTTCTCCTCCACGAATCCGCTTCTATCTTCTTCCGTGTCCGTAGCCCGTTGATCCTCTTCGGATTTTCGATTCTTCTTCCGTTTTCTTTTTCTTCCTCTTCCTCTTTTTCTGAAGAATAGCAGCTGAACTCACGAGTCTCCTTATTTTCCACTGCTTAGACTATCCATCTATGCAAAAAGTATTGACATATGTTTTCTTTTGCTTTCCTCTTTCGGGGATTACAAGCGAATTTTGAAATGAGTTGTTGTCAAGACTGAAGCCGATATAACTGTTATTCTATGGACCTTGGAGAATAGTTATCGTTTAATATTTCGTTCGTAAATTTTTATTAGTCTTCCTTCGACTTTACTCGGATTTAATGAAGAACGAGAAGTTTGACAAATGACTTTTTTACTTTATACTTTTCAAAAAATTATAATTGCTGATGTTATGCAACATCTTCTCGAAAACACGGTTAAGTTTTTCTGTCTCTTTTTGCTGTTTCTTCAGAATTCATAAAGACTCTAGTAGAAAAATTAGATTTCGATGAAACTTTATATCATACTGCACTGGTTAGAACAAACTACGAAAACAAAATCAAATTTAATCGTAATAACTATGTAATCGGATCGATATTTCTTTATTACTTTCCAGTCTGTTACTAGCAACTTGAGACATTTACACTACGCGATTGTCTGTGGATAATCGCTCGAGCAATTAAAAGTGTAAAGGGTAAAAGTAGAAGTAATAATTTGCCAGCACGTGTCGTTTAATCGAGGAACACGTAATACTGGAACTATACCACAGATAAATTTTCTATAAAACAAAGTTATGCAAGAACGTTTGTCATTAACACTGACTACTTCCGTCGTATGCTGTACGATAGTCACCGATGTTTTAATCGCACGGATTTTAATTCACATTGAACTGAGGCGATCGAGCGGAGCTCGGTGTCTGTTACTGTTCTCTTTTATGCACATGATTAGCGCCACACTCGAGACAAGTAAAACAGAAGAAGAAACAAAAAGAAAATAATGGTAACTGTGCTTGAGAATTCCGGTCTGCCTGTAAAACTCGCCATTTGTACGTACTGAACTTTAAAACTTTATAGTATATATGTTGTCGCAATTATGCAAATTATTGTAAAGCGTGCTCGTTGTCGTAAGTCAACGAATGAACTAGAAATTAATGCACTTAAGAATGCGATTCTCAGAATCTTTTTACACGCGAATCGACTTCTTAATAACAGAGAAATGATTAAAAGGAATTGATCAATTCAAATGTATTACATTTTAATCGAAACACTAGAAATTAACGAAATTGCGTTTATTTATCTATATAAGTCATAATCAAAAACACTAAACAGTAATTATTTAAGTTTAGTAGTTACTAAACAGTAATTAAAATAATATTGCAACTGTAAAAGTTATTTGTTTCGCTTTGCAATTGTAAAAGTTTAAAATATGCAGAGAGTCTGATTAGCATAGATTTGAAGTATTTCAATTTTGATCACTGTTGTTTCTTGAGTTTACTCGTTGAATCAAAATTACAATGCATATTAATATTTCAAAGTGATTTATACTTGACTACCTGTTAAAACTATTTTCATGTTTGATACAAATGTGGCTACAGTTAATGAGCAAGTAATTTTCAAGTGTTACTTTAAGTACAAACCAGCACTGTTCGTAAGTATTTGCATTTCTTATCGAATTTGTATGAATTATTTATGTACCATTCGTCTGAATATCCTTCGGTTCACGCCGATACAAAGGAATCACATGAACCAACGATAACAAATATTGCACAAAACCTATAATTTTTTCCAACAATTATCACCTCAAAATCTCCAATTTAATATTTTCTCGTTCATTCGAAATCTTTCTATTTTTCAGTTTGACTTTTAACTTCAGTCGTCGACAATGACTACACTGTTATATATCAAATAATCAACTTTTCTTACACTGGAATAACCGTCGTCCATAGATCATCCTCTCAACATTCACCCAGTCTTTTTTCGTTTGGATATGTCGAATTCACAATCTTACATTATTTTCGAGTTAATTATAATTTCACTGAAGATTTTCACTAATCCACTGCCTATTTTTCGTCGTTACGTATCAAAACAGCGTTCATCAGTGATCAAATTCGTCACATCCGGTGGCAATGAAGTTACGGATCAAACGGAATCAATGAAAAAAAAAGAAAGAAACAAAGATTTTTAGCTGGCGTCGAAATCGCAAACGCGTAACGCCTGGACAAGAGTCCGCGCGGATGTGAGGCTTTTAACGGATCCACCGGACTTAAAGATGTTCCGTAAAATCTAGATACACTCGCGGAGTCAGAAACTCAGCGTCCTTGTTCAATTCTATCGTAGCTGGTAATTGTGCGCTATCATCGCACGGGCCGACACGATGATCATAATTCCCGACGAATTGGAACCGGTTTTTCTCTCTCAAGTACCTCATAACCGCTTTACGAATTTCAATGGGCGCATTCGTGAATGTACTCGGACCTAATGTAGGCTCGCCGCCATCTTGGTACGTCCATCGAAATTCTTTGAGCAACGAGCGGTAACGCCGCCGCACAAGTTAATGGCCACTTATCTTGGTAAACGTGGAATAAAAACAAGCAGAACGCTCGAAAATCGTCTTAACAAAAAGGATTCTCGCAACTTTTTTGAAAAGAACTCGAAGACAAGGTTCACTTTGTTGTATTAACACATTGACTGCAACGAAAAACTTCAAGGTTTTATGTATTACTTATTCTTTTGTAACAAAGATAAAGAGGAAGAATTATTAATTGTCCGGTACCACAATTCTTAGGTTACACTATTATCTAGTTATTTACACTATTGGACATCTTTATTCGACGTGAGTGATCTTACGAATTATAATTGTTTTCAAGTAATTTGGAAACTCCGATCATCGGTCACCACCGTGGGAGTCGACGTGTTAATCTTTATTCATTGTGTATGAAGCAAGATTCTAAAGATACGAAAAGATCTTTTCATTGAATTTTGTTAGAAGCTGAAAAGGATTATCTAATCATTTTCCATTTTTAGACATTGGTTTATTCTTTATTTAGCAATTTTTAGTAGCGAGTTTTTTCTTATTCTAGTGCGAATCGATTATAAAGGATTACATTGTGTACACATTTTACTTGGAAGTTTTTTATCGTCTCTTGGTGCGTTCATTTATTTATAATATTTATTTGTGTATGGCAATATAAACGGCTGCATTGGATTAATATTATTAAACAGTCGATGTTTATGCATATGTGTAACGCCAAAGTTTATTAATGTGAATGAAGCAACTATACGGTGAAGTTTAATAAAATGTTCATTTTATTTTGAGGCTAAGAAAATAAATTCTCGTTTAATTTTGAAACCTGCGAAATACGTTTTAAAAATCGGAATTTACATAAATATTCACAGACTAATTTTACTTAGCACTCCGGCGTCCAAATTCCATATGGCGTCGTGGATATCGTGGCTATTTTGCAACGGTGTTTGTAATGTTTCGGAAATTTAAACGTTGTATTAACTTGTATTATTATTTTTTAGTATACGAATGTAATGTATAAATTACGGATTTTATCAAACTTGCTATACGAAAATGTTCAAGGGAAAATTAAAGACGTTTTTATTCTTTCATAAATACGATCAAATCTCTGATAATGCTAAGAACTTCATTCCTTAGAAATTATTTTAAGAGTATTACAAACCTACATGTACATCAAAATCTGCAGTTCAAATATGAATTTGAAAAATTTGAAGTACGAATTTATGTAATAAAAATATTATATCTTGTTCTTAATGTATTTTACAAAACATTAAACGCACAACTTTCACAATACTCATAATGATAAGATGATTAATAAATTGATTTATATTTAGTTTATTTTGAAGAAGATATTGAGCTACATATTTCTGTGATAAATATTTGTTCGAATTAATTTTTTAATATTAGTGACACGGGAAATGTGAAGTATATAAAAGTCGGCTGACATAATAAATATTCTTTACATCTTCATTTTAGAATTTACTTGTCTCAATGGCACAACACAAGGATAATGACAGAAGTCCGTGTCTGAATGCTTAATTACCGAAAGATCGAGAGAGGTATCAGATTCTGAGAAGTAGTTACCCAGCGTTTTTGTAATTAAAACTTGTTAGCGATCGGTTTGAAGAAAATGTTCTCCGCGTAGCGTTAATCAACGGAATGTTTTTCTCTAATTTGCATTCGTGGTTCATTTGTAATATAAGCTTGACAAGTGAAAGTCGAAAGTCGAACCCGCAGGGTTATCTCATTGTAAGTCAACATTTATAAAAGTTTCCACGAGGACATCAACGATTTGTCACGAACGCCATGTCCGATTTTATGTTTTCACGATGTACG